CAGGGGAATATGGTAATGCTGCCCTGCTTTGGTAAAACACTGCCCCTTGTTAAAACTCATCCACTAACCACTGAGCTAAACTGGCATGTTAAGTAGCAGATCAGTGCACTCACAACCCCCCAGGCAAAGAGGCATGTAGCCCTTCCCCAAGGATCTTAAGGGCAACTCCTGCAGGTTTCTCGACACCCCCCCCCCTCGTTGGGATAGGCGGAAGACACAAGTGCAGGGTCCTATTTTGCAGACAAAAACTGTCTGAACGTCTGATTTCAGACTAGGTTTTTTCGACTTTGTCTGATTTTCCAGACAAGGGATTTTTTTGTCTGATTAAGTTAGACAAGGCTTCAGAATTTGTCTGATTGTTTTGTCTAGTGTTTCACCTTGTCTGAAATCGACTTATATGGGGTTCCATCTGGGCCCTAGTGGATAACCCCATTACGCAGTAATCGGTCGTCACCACGTGTTGTGACTGGACACTTGGTTTCAGCGAAGTGTCCCAACCGATCGCCACTCTCCCTCAATTTCCGCTTCAGCTTTGCGAGACTGTTTCGAAACTAACGGGAGGACCTAAAAGGCCCTTTAAAGAGGTGGCGGGACTAAGGGGAATGCAAGCGGAGGATATCGAGTAACAAGATCTCAAATGTGTAGTAAAAAAGAAATGAAAGTGGATATTCTCATACTAATAATTTAAGCTCTGGTATTAAATGCTAGACAAACATTTTGATTTTGTCTGACATTCAGACAAGTATCAAAATTTTCAGACAAAAAACAGAACTCTTGTCTGATGGCGCAGACAAGGGATTTTTGAAAAGAGGACCTTGCACAAGTGCCTCCACAGCGCTTGCACTGGGAATTGAACCAAAGTCACCCGGCTCTGATACCATGTCAGAACTCAATCACTAAAAGGGCGTGGTAAGTGCGCCCATAACCCCCCAGGCAGATAGATGGCATGTAGCCCTTCCCCAAGGATCTCAAAGGCAACCCCAGCGGGTCTCTCGACCAGGCCTGTCGTTATCAGGGTATTTTACCCTGATTCCCTGATTTCACAGGGTATTTTTTTGGCCAACCCTTAATTTTCAGGGTTGGGTTTTTTTGAACCCTAACCTCTTCAGGGTTGTATGTCTGTGAACACTTAAAATTTCAGGGTTTGTGTTATACCAACACTGAGTTTTCAGGGAGTAACGCGTACGAACCCTGAATGCGACATCCATGCGGACCCTGAATTTCCTCGAAATGGCCCCCTTACGCGTGACGGGGCCCAGTCCATTGAACACGCCCAGCATGCGTCACGTGGGGAATCTGCACTCGGCAAGATTCCCGCCGTATACACGCTGTATGCTGCCATTACAGCAACATTTGCAACCGTCAACTGGCATTCGTGACTCAGCACGCAGCAGACGAGGACAGAATATGATGAGCGCGGCAATGTCAGCCTCTGTATGACATCACCCCGCCAATCATCTCTGTGCAGACGATGCCAGCGCAGGTGCGTTTCGCCGTTGACGGTATCGCCATGGCGATACGGGAACCTGGATGGGTTATGCACCATCCATGAAAATCGAGAGATGGGGCTTCTTGGTCCTCTTCCCGTCTTCTTCACCAGCTCCTCCTCCAACCCGGTTTTTTTCATTTCTTCACGTCACAGCTGCGAGATGCTCCAGTCTTCAATCTCCTCTAGTTTCGTCGCGCCGATTTCTCATTTTCAGCATATCCGCCGCTTCTAGCCATGGCGGATGTAGGGGACTCTGGTGAGTCTCCCACTGCCGACGATAGTTCTGAACTAGGTAGGGACCGCCCCGTGGAGGTCCGTAGATCCGCGCTAGACATCTTGCGGTCTCCCACCGCAGTCCTTACACCATCACAACCCGTATCTACTCCCGCCGCTCCCTATGTACCTCCGCCCGCTGTCGCTTCATCTAGCCGGGGCCCTTTGGTTCCAGACTGCGAGACAGCCACGACCGTGCGTTACACGGTCGAGTGTGCGTCGACAATTTCATCTGGGAAGAAAGTACGCGTCGGGAAGTACACCCAGAGCACGATAGTCCTCGGCGGGAAGCTACATAGACCGTCGCCGCCTCGCTCGTCGCCTGAACCTCATGCCCCTGGTATTCCAGAACCCGAGCCGCCGAAGCTCTCAAAGAAGGAACTCATCGAGCAGAAGTATCTCATGGCTGAGCACAAGTATAAGACCAGCTGGCTTCCTTTTTTCCCTTGGCTTCTGCTAACAAAAACGAAAGATGGTTACCCTGCTTTGAAGTGCAGTGTGTGCAAGGCTTTCGGCAAAGAGACAACACCGTACTCCAACAGCCGCGACGGGGCACGTGACCTGCAGACGCAAGCGATGCGGTTCCACGAACACACGACAGCCCACGAAGTAGCCGTCAAGCGTCAGATGGAGATCGCCGAAGAGATCGCCAGCACCCAGAGGCGCATGGAGAATTACGCGCGGATTGACATCGAAGGGAAGCGCGTCATGAGGCTCCTACGCTGCGTCGACTTCCTGTGCAAGTGTGATGCACCCATCAGCATGTACCCGAGGCTACTCCGCTTCATGGCCGAGCAGGAGACACCGGACATTCCGCTGCAGTCTTACGGAGTCTACCTGACAAGGTAATGCACTTATTCGAAGTACACCATGTCCTTTTTTTTTCAAAAAGGTCTAACCAACACCTTGTTGTCACTTCTGCTACTACAGGTATGGCTTCTGTCAGCTCGTCAGCAGCCTGGCAACCTACCTGCAGCGCCGACAAATGCAATACATTCTCGCCTCACCCTACCTCGGCATCAGCTGCGACGAGAGCACTGACCGTACTCGCGGTAAACATCTGATTGTTTATCTGACCTTCTTGCGGGCGCATCGTGTTGTGACTGAGTTTTTTGCACTCTTGACCGTCGAAAAGTGCGACGCCGCGTCACTCCTCGCCGTTCTTCTGGCTCACTTGCGAGCAACTGGCATCGATCTCTCCCGAATCACCGGCATGAGCACCGACGGCGCCTCTGTCATGGTCGGCCGAGACAACGGTCTCGTCGCCCGACTTCGCGAGCACATCCCCCATCTCGTCTCTTCGCACTGCATCGCCCACAGGTTTAACCACTTGTCATTTCAGTCGCTTAGGTGTCCTACAAGTGCTTGACTAAAATTCCCTTGTGTGCACCATGCAGGGAAGCCTTGGCGGTGAAGGACGCGGCCACTGCTTCTCCAGACTTCGACATGGTCGACCTTGTGATTCGGACTCTGGCCGATCTTCTGGGACGTTCATGTGTCTGGAGTCAACGCTTCAAGTACCTGCAGCGGGCAATACATAACACCAACCTTGAAGTGCAAGGAATTCACACCGTGCGCTGGCTTTCAAGGGGTGAGGCTGTGAGGCGCCTTTGTAAGGTCCTCGGCGCCGCTATCATTCTCTTCTATGAGTACGGGCATGAGCTGTATGAGGTGGTTATCTGTTACAAGTTCCAGTTTTGTCTTTTTTTCCTGGCGGACGTCCTCGGAGTGATGAATGAGCTCAACCTCAAATTCCAGAAGAGGGAGGTGAGCTTCTATCACCCTGCATGTAATTTTTGTCCCATGCATGCACGTTTGGAATCACCCTCTGACTCCACTCCGTCGTCTGTCACATCCACCAGGTCGATGTCACCGAAGTGACGAAGGACATCGACGAGGCGACAGGGGACCTCCGCCACCGCTACTTGGAGTGCGGAGAGGTGTTCGGCGGGGGTGTCGAAGGCACGTGGCTTTCGGCTTTCTTGGCGGTCTACGGCGCGGAGGGGGCAAACGCGTAAAGGTGCGGGGCATCGACAAGGACGGCAACCCAGTCACGCACACCTACACCATGCACGAGAAGCAGATCGACGGGCATGCCTTCCGCAGCAAGTACCCCGATTGCGAGCGGCTCTGCGCGCAATTCGCGAAGGACACGATAAGCTTCCTGAAGACGAGGATGCTGGACCTGAACAATCTCGGCCCGACGAAGCTCTTCCGCGTGTCGAAGTGGCCCCGGATGAAGCAGCAGAGAGAGAAGAAGCTGAAGGAGTACCTACATGGCTGCAGTGCCTTGTTCGACAACAGGCTGACAGGCTTTTCCTTGCAAGCTGCGCAGAAGGAGCTGGTCACGTGGGCGCCACTGATGCTGAGCCACCATGCCGACGAAGGATTCCATCAAGGCCTGACGAACTACCTCGGCTCGACGGAGTCGACCTTGTGAGAGAGTGCTGCTCGAAGGACGATTATTGATTTTCCTTTTGGGCGGTTTCATTGTTTCCTTTATCAGTTGTTGTTTATCGATTGTTGACAAGCATTGCTAATGCACTGGTCTTGTTCCATGTACTCTATTCCCCCAACCCTTCTGGCAGGCGCTGGCCCAACCTCATGCGCTTGTGGCAGGCATGCGCTGTCCTGCCGCTTAGCACAGTGGAGTGTGAACGAGGCTTCTCGCGGCAGAACGTCATCAAGTCATGGGTGCGGGGCGCGTTGTGCAATGCGCGCCTCAGCGAGCTGATGGTCATTTCCCTGCTGCAGTACGAGACTGACTGGGACGAGGCCATTGGGTGCTGGCGCGAGAAGCTGAGGCGCCCTGCTAAGTCTGTTCTGTTTGCCGCAGCGGAGAGGAAGCGTAAGGCGAAGGCGATTGAGGGGGCAGAAGTGAGGGTGGAGGAGGAGGCAGTCCCCGACTACATGGGGGATTGGGCAGAGGATGAGGGAGAGGAGGAGGGGGGAGTGGGGGCAGTGGGGGGAGAGGCTCCTGAAGAGGAAGACAACCCCTTTCTGTCCGATGACGACGCAGAAGACGAAGTGAACATGGATGGCCCAGAATTTTAGTCAAGTGTAGCTAGTGGCATGGAATATTGTGAAGTCTAGACTAGATAGAGGACTTGTAGACTGGCGTGGCGTAGTGGTGCTTTTACTTAACTAGTAGCTGTACATTCCTAGTTGATTTTTTCCCAAGTACAATGCAACCCTGATTGTTGCAAGCCAACCCTGGAGGTTTCAGGGTTGTAAATTCCAGAACACTGAGAAATCAGGGAAGTCAAAATACCAACACTAGGCCCTCAGGGTAAAAAATTTTCCCCATTCGACAGCTCAGGGTGGTTTTTTTTGAAACGTCAGCCCTGCTCTCGACACCTCTACATAGGCTAGGGGGTGTGTCAACAAACATATTTGTATATCTAACCTAACTAGGACAGCTCTTAGAGGGGACAACACTTTGCATTTGTATCTCCCCTCCCCCTCTTCCTAGTCATCTTTTTTTTGCTATTCCAATAGTTATTCTGATCGTGACTAACCAGGCTGAAAACAACTTCATGGTAGATTTATGCGTATTGTGTGAGGCAAGCTGTGCTGTTACAGGGGGCAAAAGGGAGAGTGTTTGGTGCTATTATGGCTTCGGTGGTAAAAACAAAAGGCTTGTGGAAGTCTCCGTGCTGAAAATCAGCCTCAACGAACAGTGCCCGATAGCCCACCTGAGCATAGAAACGTGCAAAGAGGGAGAACGGGAGAAAGGGAGAAAGATGCCAGAAGGGGGAGGAAATCAACAGAGTTGAAAGAGGATGATTAAAGTGGTAACGCTTACCAATATTCCTGTTGGGAATTTGGGGGTCTGTTAGGTGCTCTACTTTGAGAAAGGCGCTGAGCACCCCAGTACATAGTTGGATGGGCATATAACACCCCATAGTATTGGAACTTCCAATTTGGAAGGGCGTATAACACCACAGAATATGACTGGAAGGGCATATTAGTATGACTGGAAGGGCATATAACACCAGAGAGTATGACTGGAAGGGCAAATAACACCAGAGAGCATGACTGGAAGGGCATATAACACCAGAGAGTATGACTGGAAGGGCATATAACACCAGAGAGTATGACTGGAAGGGCATATAACACCAGAGAGTATGACTGGAAGGGCATATAACACCAGAGAGTATGACTGGAAGGGCATATAATACCAGAGAGTATGACTGGAAGGGCATATAACACGAGAGAGTATGACTGGAAGGGCGTATAACACCAGAGAGTATGACTGGCCGTATAGCATCCAGACTATGTTTGGAAGGGCGTATAGCACCCCAGAATATGATTGGAAAGGTGTGTAGCACCCCAGTGTATGTTTGGAAGGGCGAATAACACCCCTGTATATGATTTTAGGATATAGCTTTTCTCGTTTTTAGTGTTCGGATAGAACACTCACTTTCAGAATGTGAGAAATCCCGGCTCAACATATTGTACCACACAAGGTGGAAAAATACGGGTTTTGTATTATACGGTTCGTTTTATACGGCCAAAAAAAAAAACGACCGTTTTTTTAATAAACATTTTTGGGCACCTTAAAAAAAACAAAAAAAAACAAAAAACAAAAAAACCTGCAGAAACAGGTTGCATCGTGGCTACGATGGTTTACTCAGGGCTAAGGGGGCTAACAAACAGTTCTACAGGTACATGTCTTGAATCTTTGTCCTCCTCCTCTGCCGTGTCTTCCCCCCCACTATCACCCTCACACCGTCTCAAAACATTAGCAACACTCACAAATGAAGTACCACGGTGCATCCAAAAGTGATTACAATTTAATTACAAAATTTTTTCCCCAGGTTTTGGCTGGTTAAAAAAATACAACCGTATTATACAACCGTTTTTTTACACCAACCCGAAAACGCATCTCAGGACCGTTTTAAACGGCAGAATAAAACGATTCTGTATTATACGGAAAAAAATAAAATACGACCGTTTTTTTGCACCTTGGTACCACAGTAGGCTTGAGCATCGGCCCAACTCGACCCAAGGTCGGGTTTGGGTCGGGTCGGGTCGGGTCAGGTCGGGTCGGCCTTTGCAGTTGGATGATCCGACCGACTTGGGTAATATACAGGTCGGGTCGGTCGGGTATTACCTGACCCGGGTTCGGGTCGGGTTGGAACGGGTCGGGTCGGCATAAGGACAGAAGTGTGTAATAAGCCGACCCGAGGGGTTGGGTCGACCCATTACAAATGTCAACCCGACCCAGGAAAAACTCAGGTTAAGGGCGGGTCTACCCGACCTGACCCGACCCTTTGCTCAACCCTAAACCCCAGTCACCTTCAGAAAAACATGGTACCCAAATTTCATCTCACGCTTCACTTCACTCACCTTGGGAATGTCTTGGATTGTGGAGCTGAAGTGCCAGAGGCCATCAGCTTGCACTGTAGGCGGTGTGACTGTATGCAGGAGGAAGGGGATGGGCTGGAAACAGAGCATGCCAAACTTCGCAATGTAGTTGGGCAGCAGACTCTTGAAAGGGATAATGCTGGAGGGGGAGAGGGCAGGAAGGATGGGAAGAAGAACAGTTACAAACGAGGTGTCTCAGAAGAAACATATGGAAAAGGCTTGACGATAACAACGCTGGAGAGGGGCCATGCCGGGAGACTGAACGCAAGAGAGCCACCCAGTTTTGGTTACATGTGAATGGAGAGGTCGCGAAAACAGTGGGAAGCAGAGGAGCTCACCAGGCAGATGCTACATGCAGACAGACTACTTACCAGGCACAGGACCACATACTCTCCACAAAAGAACAAAGAACCAAGTGACCGCACCAAGTTTATGATACTAGAAGTCAGACAAAAAGGGTTGATTTTAGCATAACTATTCTGCATTATCACTCACCATCCTTTGACCCCCTGCTTCACTAAAAACCGGAAGTCCCTTCTTCTACTGCCCAGAATGGTGCGCCCTGTCCTGGACGGAAGAACGGGAGAGGGGTAGGGGGACACACAGTTGAGTTGAGGCCTGGAAGGCACGCTGGACTTTTGAGGTGCCTGGAAAACCACTAGTCCCTTCGACTCATTCTGGGCAGAGGGGTGGGGGGAGACACGGTTGAGGCCTGTAAGGCGTGCCTAACTTTCCAGGTGCCTGGAAGACCGCTGGTCCCTTCAGCTACTGCCCAGAATGGTGCGCCCTGTCCTGAAAAGGCGAGGGAGGGTGTGAAGAGGTGGGTTGGGGGGGGGGTTGTTGAAGGGGGACCAAGTTGAGACCAAGAAGGTTCGACTAAACGCACTGAACGCAATTGGAGGCCAGCATAGCTGTGGTTGCAGCTGTGGCTGTGGCTGCGGCTGCTGCGGTTGCGGCTAGACCTACGGGTCCATGAGGGTACTGGCAACTGTGGTCCTTAGAGCCGCCACAAACAATGTTACTTCTGAGTGTGGCTGTGGTTGTGCCTACAGTCCATGATAGTTCTGCCATCCTTAGAGCCACCGCAAAAGCCCGTCTCAGGAGCTGTGCCTCAAGGTTGCACTTAAAAAGGGAAGTGGAGTCTAGATGGAATAGAAGGTCAACGCTACCCCGCCCCCTCCTTCCCAATCCCTGCCTCACCACGCTCTAACAGCCAATGGCTTCCTGTCTGACGTGGCATGGATGGTGAACGTGGACCAATCAAACCGCCACCTCAGCTGAGGCCAGTCGACAGCGGGCAGCTCCGGCACGCAGCCCCAAGGGGGGGTCTGCATGGCTGCTACAGCTGCTCCCTCTGCTGCTCCCACTGCTCCCGCAATTTCTGCTCCCCCCGCAGCTGCCTCTGCCTCTGGGAGACTAGACGAAGGGAACGTTGGTGAGCTGGTAGCAGGCGAATGTTGAGGGGCAGGTGAATGTTGAGGGGCAGGTGAACGTTGAGGGGCAGGTGAATGTTGAGGGGCAGGTGAATGCTGAGGGGCAGGTAAATCAGGAGAATTCTGGGGGTTGAGGGGGGATGGGGTGGTGGGGGTGGTGGGGCGGGCCCAGGTGAGGGAGGGGCGGGAGGAGGCGGGGAGAGAGGCACAGGAGGAGTTGGCGTGGAGGAGAGAGGAGAGGAAGGAGATGGACGCATCGTAGGCCTGCAACAGAAACGGGGGGAGGAGGGGGGAGGGGGAGGGAAGAGAAAAGTGGAGGGTAAAAAAACAAAATCGCTGAGGAGGGAGGCAAGCATTGTAGGCCTGCAGAAGGCTCACTTGCTCTCATTGCCTCAGTGGAAGAGTTGAACGAAGAACCAAACTGAAGTGAGTGGGCCATACCGATTGAAGAGGGAATTGTGAATGACCATGTGGCCGAACAGAAGTTTGCAACCACGATTGAGGCGGCAATGTGGGATGGGGAGGTGCATCAAAGCGGATGGGAGGTGAGAACGTGAAGAGTGCTGGATAATACCCATTGGGACATGTGGGCAAGGTGTGCAACCATGTTGAGGGGCTAGACCATATGCCATAGACCAAACCCAAGGGAACATGCACGTGTGTCGAGGTTTGCAAAGAACTCACGGCAATGATGGCGAATGGGAAGAGCGCTGAGCCATACCCATTGAAAAAGGGGAGGGCGCTGGACCGTGCGTATTGATATTGGGGAGGGCGCTGGACCGTGCGTATTGATATTGGGGAGGGCGCTGGACCGTGCGTATTGATATTGGGGAGGGCGCTGGACCGTACCTATTGATATTGGGGAGGGCGCTGGACCGTGCCTATTGATATTGGGGAGGGCGCTGGACCGTGCCTATTGATATTGGGGAGGGCGCTGGACCGTGCCTATTGATAATGGGGAGGGCGCTGGACCGTGCCTATTGATAATGGGGAGGGCGCTGGACCATGCCTATTGATAATGGGGAGGGCGCTGGACCATGCCTAATGATAATGGGGAGGGCGCTGGACCATGCCTATTGATAATGGGGAGGGCGCTGGACCGTGCCTAATGATATTGGGAAAAGCACAGAAGCAACGGCACTGCACCATACCCATTGGGACATTTGAATGGCATCATGCTCGAGGTTGGCAACGATCTTGAGAAATGTGGGTGGTGGAAGGTCCTTGAGGTAATAGTAGCTGGGGAGAGAATGGGGAGGTGCATCACAGCTGGAAGGTCCTTGAGGTAATAGTAGCTGGGGAGAGAAGGTGGAAAATGTGAGGAGCAAAGAATGAGCATGGAGCTGAGGCGCACATAAGTAAAGCACGGAAACACTACTAATGAAACACACTTGAGGCTACCAATCACAGGCACAGTGCACAGCAGCAGGGGGACGTTGTGTATGGAGACAGCTCAGCAGTAAAATAACCTCAAAGGAATGCTGAAAGTGTGCTGTACACGTGCTTCAAAAGAATGCCCTTATGTGCCACTAAAGAGAAAGCCCCTCCGCGCCACAAACAAAATGCGCTTATACGTCATAAGAGAGAGTGCCCTTACACACCTCACTTGAGAGAGTGCCCTTACATGCCACTCCGGAGGCTAATGGCCTATGTGTCACTGAAGGAGTTGAGTGTGCATGTGGATAAGGCGGAGGATGACCTCATATGTCACTTACGAGGATGCCCTAACGTGGCGCTTAACGTCCAAATCTCAAAATTCCTCAACCCGAGTTAACGAGAGGTATGTGGGCTGAGAAAACGCAAAACTATTGGGCGTGAAATTTAAGGGAGTGTGCTAAACTGGGCCGAACTGGGCGCAGTTTGACCCCTTCGAGTAATTTAAGACCAGGGCTTGAAGGGATGCCCTAACATGTCACTGAAGAGGATGTTGTAACATGTCGTTGAGGTGTCACTTAAGAGGTCATGATACATGCCCCGTGCCACAAAAGAGGTCATGATACATGACCCGTGCCCCGTGCCACTAAAGAGGTCATGATACATGCCCCGAGTCACTAAAGAGGTCATGACTTACGTACGTGCCCCGTGTCACCAAAACGGGACATGACTCACACGGCCTGTGTCACCAAAAGAGGTAATGACTTACGTGTCGTCCATGTAGCAGACCTCGTCATTTGAGGCAGAAATAAGCAGCTTGGGCATGGTCAGGCGGTCCCGGAAATTATAAGGGTCTGTGTAGCTCTAGTGATCAGAGCGAGGGGGGCGGGGACAACAAGGAAGGTGGGGAGGGAGTGGGAAAGAAGAGGAAGAGGGAATTAAGTGAAGGAGGAAAGGGGGCCAGGGGAATGGGGGGATGCCCTAACGTGGGAGGGCGAGCAATGTTGAAGGTGAGGATGCCTATGAACTTTATAGCTTTTAGGCATGAAATTTTTGTATGCGGTTGTGCTAACCAACCCAATGGATAACACCCTTTTCACGTCTGTATATTAGTCTCAGCCTGTCACAGGAAACAAGTATGACGTAGCTGCACACACCAGCATCAACCACACCAATATTCCCTCCCTCCCTACACTCACCAATATTCCCTCCCTCCCTACACTCACCAATATTCTTCGCTGCTGTGGCGATTCAGCATGCGAGTCGAGTTGTAGTCGGCATAGAACTTGGCCTGAATAGGCACGGCCCCCAGGGAAAAGGCACGGCCCCTAGGGAAAAGGCACGCCCCCCAGGGAATAGGCATGGCCCCTAGGGAATAGGCATGGTCCCCAGGGAATAGCAATGGCCCCTAGGGAATCTTAGAGAAAAATGCTGCAGCTGGTCCCCTCCCTCTGCTCAGCAGTATCGGGCACTTCTCTGCGGATTCCAACATGCTGGTCACCTTGTAGTCCAACATGCTGGTCACCTTGTAGTCCAACATGCTGGTCACCTTGCAGTCCAACATGCTGGTCACCTTGTAGTCCAACATGCTGGTCACCTTGTGGTCCAACATGCTGGTCACCTTGTAGTCCGCGGCAGGATAGGCAACAGCTCCAGTGGAGTCAATCAGATGCTGCACCCTGTGCCCTAACCAATCCGTCTGTCCGTCCGTCCGTCCCTCCCTCCCTCCCTCCCTCCCTCCCTCCCTCCCTCCCTCCCCTCACCAGGATTCTTCTCATCTGTGGCGAGTCCAGCACGCTGGTCACGTTGTAGTCCGCGTAGAAGCGGGCCAGAACGGGCATGGCGCCAGTGGAGTCGATCAGATGCTGAATGTTAGGCCCGAAGTTGATGAGATCGAAGCCGTAGGATATGAAGGCCACCACTCGCTGCGATCACACGAACAAAGATAACACATGAGGAGTGGAGTGCGAGAAAGAGGGATGAGAGGAGATGCGGTGTGAAGTGAACAAAGATAACACGTGAGGCAAGGTACAAAATACGGCCGTTTTTTTCATTTTCAGGCCGTATGGTACGGTACCTTACGATACGGCCGTTTAATTCGGAAAAAAACGATAGGTGTAATGTGGATTTTTTGTGTGCAAAAATACGGTCGTTTTTTACGACCGGTTTTTTAGTTCCATCATGTACATGTTTCAATCTCGAATTCGAAACACATTTCGATGGTTGAGTGTACACCCATCCGTCGGCAAATTTCAAGTCAATGAGTTCCCGAGGCGCGCGAGCGACACACAACCGAGCCGCGCATTTCAGGGATTTCGCGAAGCCCGTTGCGAAACATTTGTCCGTTTCGCAACGGGTCTCATAGATATTTCGGGCCCAGTAGCGTGCGTCGCGCATTTCGTGGCGCACACTACTGAGGCGCATTTCGATTTCGAAATCCCTCCCCTACCCACCCAATCTTGCCTTCAACTTTCCACCCAACACCTGCATGACGAAATACAAATACAGAGCACAAACAGAGAGGTAAGAATCAGAGTTTTTTGCAAGTAGAATTAGGTTCCTAAGTTCGCGCAGCCTCCTTTCAGGCTCTCCACCCCGTCGATTTCTAGAGTTCGATCATCCGCATCGCAACTATAGCCTTGTGCAAATAATCCTAGGTTCGCCCGCTCGCGTTTCAGCCATGCCCCGCACCCCGTCTAGTATGTGGGAGCATGTGACGAAATTATGTGACGAGCAAGGCATGACCGTCCGCGTCGAGTGCAACCATTGCCACATGAGCGTCACGGCAAATGCGACGCGGATCCGGGAGCATCTTTTCGGCACGCCGGCATCCAAATTCCGGAACATTGCTGAGTGCAAGTCTGAATTTGCGAAGAATCTCCGCGTCAACGGTCAAAGCTCGACGACCACGGCCATGGTCCGCGGATCAACAGCCACCGTCGGGGGACCGGCGGGCAAGCGCAGTCGCAACCGCGACATCCGTGGCATGGTGGACAAGGCGGGCCGCGATGCCCTCGATCTCCTATGGGCGACGGCCGTGGTGGAGAACGACTTGGCCTTTCGGATTTGCGCGTAAGTGTGCTTCAACCATGCGATGCGACGTTTGCTTCTACAACAGCCCCACTCCCCCTCTTCACCCTCGCCATCTCTACCATGCATCGCCATAAGTGTTTCTCCCCTTATTCGCCATAGTTAGTTCTTTTGCCATCCCCGCTCCCCCTTCGCCCCTCAAACAGCTCACCCTCCATGCAAGCGTTTGTCGAGGGCGTTGTGGCGTACGGCAAGGAGTACAACTTGCCGAGCGCCTACTCGGTCTCCCACCCGCTCCTCGCTAAGCTTAAGGCCGAGACCGAGACCCTCATGCAGCCCCTCAAGGACTCATGGGCCTCGACCGGTTGCTCCTTATCCGTGGACGGGTGGTCGGACCTGAAGAGCCGCGGTCTCGTTTGTATCATAGCCATGAACGACACCGCGCCCGTGGTGGTCGACGTAGTTGACACAAAGACGAACAAGAAAACGGGTGCCTACCTTGCAACACTCATTGGGGAGGCGATTTGCAAGGTGGGTCACACTCGCGTTGTCCAAGTGGTGATGGACAACGCGAGCAACAATAAGAGGGCGGCCCTGGACCTTGGGGATAGATATCCTTCTGTTTTTTTCACCAATTGTGCGGCACACTGCTTGGATCTCATGTTGGAAGACCTCGGGAGTATTGGTGTGATAAAGCGGGTCTTGCAACAAGCTCACGGGGTGGTCATGCTTGTGAAGACGAGCGCCACCGCGGTCAACCTCTTTCGAGAGGTGTATAGCGAGCTTGAGCTTGTCCGACCGGGTGCCACTCGGTTTGGTACCCAAGTCATCATGGTGCAGCGGTTTTTGGAGGTAAAGAAGCAATTGAAAAGCATGGTCATCTCCGAGGAGTGGTTGGATGTGCCCGCCGCGAAAACCAAGGAGGGGCAGCACATCGCCCAGGTTCTCCTCGATGAGGCATTTTGGGGCTCGGTGGAAGCGGTCCTGAAATTGATGACCCCGGTGTACGAGGTCCTTCGGGCAACGGACAAGCGGACTCACCTCATGGGGCGAATTTATGGGATGATGCTCGACGCCACCATGAAGACCAACTCAGCGGCCGAGGCTGCAGGTTTGTTTCCCACCCCCTTCCGCCCTCCAAACCTAGCATTGTCCTCACCTCCCCTTGACTCTCTTGGTTGACTGTCCAACCCTCCCAATACCCCCCACTCACTTGGCCCATTTATGCCTTGTGCTTGATAGGGCAGCCACATTTTTTGTGCGGCGGACGGGCTTGCTCTTGGCCAAGGACAAGGCCTCGTTCTTGGCCAAGGTAAGGCGGATTATAGCTCGGCGTTGGGACGCCCAGCTACATAACCCGTTGCATGCTGCTGGATATCTCCTTAACCCGGCCAATCAGTTTGCCGAGGAGGTTCGGGGCGACGACGAGATCGGGAAGGGGATGAAGAACGTGATTGACAAATAGGAGACGGATATGCAGCGCCGCACCCTCATCCACGCCCAACTCGCCCGCTTCCATTGTGGGGAGGGGAGCTTGGGGGCAAGGATGCTCGGTGGGCAACTTCCGCGCTTGTGGAGAGCGGGAAGCTCTCCGAGGCAGAGTGGTGGACCATCTTTGGGGGGAAGTCCGAGCGCTGCAGGATCTGGCGGTCCGGATTCTCTCCCAATCAACAACGGCGTCGGAGGTAGAGCGTGCATGGTCGGCATTCAGCCGGGTGCAGCGGCGAGATCGTAACCGGCTGAAATCCGCCACCATGATCGACGTCACAGTGGTGGCGTTCAGCCGGCGATCCAGAGCTGCATTTGACAGGAAGCAAGCGGCCCGAGACCGCCTTACGAACAACTCGGGGCGGGCATGGTGGAGGAAGGGAGAGCACCTCACCCCCCCCTTGCTGCAGAACAGGGGGAGGGAGAAGGGGTGGGGAGGAGGAGGTGATGGAGGAAGAGGAGGGTGCTGAGGAGCGCACCATTGACTGGGCCTCCTTTGGGAGCAGCGGCGAGAAGAAGAAGCGCAAGAGGAAGGCAGGAAACGGGAAGGGGGGGAAGAAAAACAGCGGTTCCCATAAGGGGAAGGGTAAGCTTACCATGGGAGAGGAGGAACGGGCAGCAAAGAGTGCATGCAAAGGCAGACGCGAGGAGCAGGAGGAGGAGAGCCGCGGGCCATGGGATTTCAACGGGGCAGAGGGTGAGGGGGAGGGGGGGGGGGGAGAGGGGGAGGAGGAGGACGACGAGGAGGACGACGAGGAGGAGGGGGAGGGGGAGGGGGGAGGGGAGGGGGAGGGAGAGGAGGAGGAGGACGACGACGATGACGACGAGGAGGCGTAGCGGTAGAAGGAAGAATAAGAGAACAGGAGTAGGAGGAGTGGGAGTGACAGGAGGGGCTGCATGAGGATGCATGGGAGGAGGAGTAGGAGTAGGAGGAGAAAAGTGGGAAGGGCAGGAGGGGCTGCATGGGGGTGCATGGTAGAGGAAGCCTAGTAGTATGAGTAGGGGGAGTAGGAGTTTGGGCAGTAGGAGGAGCTGGAGGGGCTACATGCGGGTGAGTGCATGGTAGGTGGAGGAGGAGGAGAGGAGGAGGAGGAGGACGGTCTTACCTCGTTTTAGGGACTTATCTTGGACGACGTTGCCACTAGCAGTCGTAGCTAGATGCCCCTTTTTGTTTAGGCAGTTAAAAAAAAAATCCTGCAACAAAAAATCCCTCTAACAAAAATTCGGCGTTTTTTTCCCAAAATCACCGAAAAAAACCATCGAAAAATACCATCGAAAAAAACGTCCTGCCGCAATTTTGCACCTTGACGTGAGGAGTGAGCGGCGAGAAAGAGGGGTGAGAGGGAGGAGCTGGAGTGTCAAGTGACATTAGTGCGGGCTGCATGCTGGACCCGAAGTTGATGAGATCTAAGAAGTACGATATGGAGGCCACCACTTGCTGCAAAGAATAAGGACATGCCATCAAACCGAGGATGGGAAGAATGAGCTGCGCTGCATGCTGCCAGGCTCCAGTAAAAGAAGAGCCCGGGAGGCTGGGGTTGCCTTTGAGTCAAGTCAGAAGCTGCATACCTCCAGTGGAAAGCAGAGCGTGCGGATCGGACCTGCCTCCTGATCACTTGCCTCCTATTCCCCTTCCTCCCAATCACCTGCCTCCTATTCATCTGCCTGCGAATCACTTGCCTGCTAATGACCTGCCTGCTAATCACCTGCCTGCTAATCACCAGCCGCTCGATCACCTGCCTTATCAAGCGCTGCAGAGAGCCATGCTGCGAGAGCTCGCTTGCTCACGCCTACAGCCAAAAACCCTTCCACCTGGCAGGAGAGAACAGCGGAATGCAAGGGACGCTGGGATGGGTGAAGCCGTGCATCGATTGGGCCAACTGTGCGGCTCATGCCCACCACCACAAACCCTTCCACCTGACAGGAGCGGAGCAGCAGAGTGAAGCAGGGATGGGGGAAAACGTGCATAGAATTGACAGCTTGTGCAGTTCACCGCCGTGGCAAAAACCATATCACCTGACTGACAGGGGATGACTCGGATGACTCACTTGGCCATGGGCAGGAAGCTACGTTGAAAAAATCGCTCATTCGGGCGTGCACTTTGCGATAAACCACACAATATGATGTGGTTTACCCCCCCCAAATCCCCAGTTTTCTCCGCCTGCCCACAAGGATTTTTACCTGCCTGACCATGCGGTTTTGAAGCGCATTTCCTACTCCCCCCTCCAGCGGATTGCGCTTAACTGCAAGCGTACAAACCACAAACCACGGATTTTCCAAATTAGGCAGGTAGGCCGGCCACTCGAGTGTGCTTTTCTCTCACCAGCGTGTGTGGCAGGGCACGAACAAGCCGACTTACCGGCACACATGACAGTAGCTCCCTGGCAGCTAGCTGCACGGCATCCATCCTCGAGTGACCGACTAGCATCCATGCTCCACAACGCGCATCCATTCGTTTGTGACTGCATGCATTCACTCGACTCACCGGCACGTGAGGCAGCAGCTCCCTGGCAGCCAGCTGCACGGCATCCATGCCTCGGATGACCGACTTGGCCATGGGCAGGAAGATGGGCCACTCGGGGGTGGTGGGGTCGTGAAAGGCCATGGCCAGGGTGACTGATGGGACATGGAAGGGGAGCGTGACTGATGGGACATGGAAGGGGAGCGTGACTGTTGCGACATGGAAGGGGAGCGTGACTGTTGGAAGACTGAGCCGGCTAGAGACAAGCGCTAAGGGTGTGCACTCAAGACCTCACATTCTCTCGTGCTCCCACAGGAACTCATGCTCCCACAGGCTCTCATGCTCCACGTGCTCTCATGCTCCCACATGCATGCATGCAGGGAGCTGCTCCTCTATCATGCCCTGACCTGACACTACTGCTCCCTGGTGAATTTGTTCGAGAAGTTTCCCTCTCATGAAATCATGCCCTCACATGCTCTCATGCCCTCACATGCTCTCATGCCCTCACATGCTCTCATGCCCTCACATGCTCTCATGCCCTCACATGCTCTCATGCCCTCACATGCTCTCATGCCCTCACATGCTCTCATGCCCTCACATGCACTCATGCCCCCATGCTCTGATGCCCTCTCGTGCACGCATGCCCTCACGTGCTCCCGTGCGCTCACATGCAGGGAGCTCCTCCTCTATCAAGCGTTGGCTGCTGACACCAGGAGGGCTGGAGTAGAAGCTGATGGGCATCATGGGTATTTCGTGGAGCATCACGCCGAGTATGCCCAGATCCACCACCATGCTGCATGTGGGGCATGAAAGAAGGGGTCGCCGTGAAAGAAGGGGTCGCCGTGAAAGAAGGGGTCGCCGTGAGAAGCGGGCAGAAGGAAGGAACAGAAGCTGATGGGCGCCGTTGCCTCTGCGTGGTGCATCACGCCTAGGATGCCCAGATCCACTAACATGCTGCAAAAGTGGGACATGGGAAAAGGGGTCAACATATTCATCTATCGCGGAGCTGATGGGCGTCATGGGCTCCTCCTGCAGAGGTGACTTTTGAGTCGACTCAAAAGTCACCTCATGGGCTTTTGAGTCGACTCAAAAGTCACCTCATGGGCTCCTGCGGCAGCATCACGCCCAGGAGTCCCACATCCGCCCGCCACCATGCAGCATGCTGGATGGACGGTTGGCTGGACCCTGAGCTCATGCCTATGGTGCATCATGACTCCCAGATAGCCTTGATTAACCACCAGACTGCGCCACCACACTGCCACACTCACACTCTAGCCCCCACGGAATATCTAACCGCTATGCACACTCTAACCCTCTGGAGAATGTAACCCCCACACACAGTCACTCACGGGGCAGCAACGCGGATGAAGACGTCGCTACTTTTGGGAACGCGGACGGCCCTCTCCCATCTGCGCGGGGTGTTCCACCCCGCCCCCACGAAGAACAGCACTAGACCCTTGCTGGCGTTCCGCATGTCGTCTGGCGCCTGATGGGAGAAAAGGTGGGGAGGCGTGGGAGGGGGAGGGCGAGTATGCCTAGCTGCTGTGGTCACTCCACCCAGCCTCAACGAAGAAGAGCATGCGGCCCTTGCTGGCCGTCAACGTTTCGTCTGGCGCCTGGCAGGAGATGAGGAGGGGCAAAGAGAGTCATATATGGATGATGACATTACTTTGGATGCCGAGATGAGCATGGATGGATTGGACTCGCAGTAGGTTGGAAGACAAAACTCCATTGCTTCATTCACTCGGAGGACGACTTCAGCTGATCCTTATGCTGACCAACTGTCGTGTAACATGCCTGAGATGTGAACGTGCACTTCCGCTGCGCCCTTCTGGTAACCTCGTTTTGACCCAGTGGGTAGCGCGAGGCGTCATACTGGAATCAGAGCCTAGGGTTCGAATGTCAAGTGGTCACATTTTCCACTAGATGCGAGAAATTGAATGTGGTAACCAGTTGCGAATCCAGCGAACAATCCTAGCCGCTGGCCTAGTCCACCAGCAAAGTCGCTGACTTGGGACTCCAGCGAAATCTGAAGTCCTTGTGGGGGCGGACTCCCTGAGCCAACGAGGACGTTGGCGCCAGAGGGGGACGAGAGTAACGTACGTGAGATGTGAACGTGTGATTCCGCTGCGCCCCTCTCGTGTTGACTTGACACATTGAGCGCGGTGTGGTGCGGCTATGCCTGCCAAGCACAGCATGGCTCTACTAGGCAGACACAAGGCCAGTCTGTCAGTACCCGTGCTCACAATAAGCGTCAGGTGGTGCCACCAAACGGATCTGTCTGTAACGGATTCGTTGAGCCACCGCAGGGTTGTCACCAGCAGCACATACCCCGTCCACCACCCCCCCCGCTCCTTGGCTCGCATGCGGTTACCCGTGTCCTCCCAGCTGTCAACAGCGGCACAGAGAGCAGTAGGGAGGGGAGAGGGCAGTCAGCAAGATGGTTTGTCACCAGCAGCACACTCCCCGTCCACCAGCCCCCTGGCTCCTTGGCTCGCATGCGGTTACCCGTTTAGTTTTCTTTTCTTCTCTTTTTTGTTAATAAGGAAACCATACATTATACAGACAATGTAGGGCAACCTCAGTTGCAAGTGTTTCGTGGGGGCCTAGGTATGATGCGGTTACTCGGGTCCTCCCAGCTGTGCACACACATATTGAACGATTAATACTACTACAACGAGTTAGTGCAATAGGGATGGACTTGTTTTTTGCTAAGAACAAAATGCAGCTTGCGACTGGCCTCACCTAAATTCCGCATCCGCGGTATAAACATATTCATCCAGCAACGTGCCGCTACAGTTCCGCCCCGTTTCGCACACGTTTGGAGGGAAAGAGGACGGTCCAACGGACCTTCCTCGACCGGAATCCCGGAAATAATCTCGAAAAAGCAGGCCGCGGGCGCTACTAGGCTGGACTTCGAAAAACGCAAAATAAGCGAAGACGGTAGCAGTAAGCGCCGCAGCAGCGACGAGTGGAAGCAGAATGCCGCCGCGACGGCTAAGATCCGCCTGAATGCTATGCCTTACTATTGAAATGCGGCTCGTAATACCAGACCCTGAGGGAGGCCGTGTGCCGGACATGATGAGCTGCGTGCTTACTGCTACCAGCTTAGTAGGTTTTTAACCTGCATCCCGTGGACCATAGCACCATAAGATCCTTGGGAGCACCACAGCGCGGAGTCGTCGCAGCGGCGACGTTCCAGTGGATTCAGGTAGTATGGAGAGCACTAGTACGTGTACCAGGCATTAATCTGCAAACCACAGACTGTACTGCGTCTCCCTGGGGTGCATTCCGCACCTGGACTGGTAATGCTGGTGACACATTCTCTCGCCCTCTGCTGCACCTTGCTAAGCTGGATGAAGGGCCCGACCTGCGGGGCGAGATACTGAGTGTTGGGGGATGCCCTCATGATGATTGGTTCATATCTGACGGACAACGCAAGCGAGGAAAACACGTGAATCAAAGTGACCAATTCGAATCTGCGAACGCAAACCTCCGCGATCGAGAAGAATGTCGAAAGCCAGGCAGGCAATGGTGCGACCAACGGGAGGCTGCCGAGGTGGTGTGGAAAAATAAGGGTCTGACCACGTCTCTGACGCGTGTCTGAAGGACCGGCCTGGAATAAAAACTCGTATTACTCCAGAAACCCATTATTCGTATAAGCCCTCGCAATGTGAAGTTCGATAAACAATAAAATCGTGCAAGGTATATGTATATGCAGTGCACTTCTTGTAGCTTGGTTCCTGATGTCCTTAGGAAAGCCAAATACCACATCACGTATGGGAGGACCTGCCTTAACCCACCTCGCCGTCTTCCGGCAAATAACAGAAGCCGTTTCTGCGAGCTACAGGAGAGGACAATCAGCCCCCACCCCACCCACGGCCGATTTTGCACTGCTACCTCTGGCTCTGCAGCAGCCCCCACCCCACCCACAGCCTCAAGGGGGGGGGGGATGGGAGGGGGTCGGCTTGTACCCCATCGCCCTACCCAACTCTCACAGCTGCCCCAAAGCCGGCTGCCCGTCAGCAAAAGCAAGCTACCTACAGGAGGAACGAAAACGGGCCAGCAGCACCAAGCTACCTTTGCCCGGCACCAGCCCCCGCCCCACCCACGGCCTCAGCGGGGGGCGGAGGGGGCTTGTACCCCATCTTCCTGCCCAGCTCTGAGAGCTGCTCCACAAACTGGCTCCCTGCCAGCATCTCAGTCGTCCCATACACCACCGTGCGCACCCCCGCCGCCCCGCCCCCGGCCCCTGCTTTCCTCGCCATCTCCTGCAACCCCCCGTACTCCATATAGTTCCCTCCCCCAATCACGAACACTATCGCGTCCCTCACTGCCCCTCTGCTGCCCCCTGCTGCCGTGCTGCTGCTGCCCCCCTTGGGGGCCTTGGGGTCCAGGCAGAGAAAGGAATCTGTATCCTGCCCGGGGCGCCCTTCCATCAGAGCTTCAACTGCCCGGGTCAGCTGCAGCTGCCTGCCCCCAGCCAAAAGATTCTTTACACCTGCGGTCACGCGGGACAAACTCTGCCCAGCCAGCCGGCCGGCCCAATCCAGCAGATCGTCCTTGCTGCCCGCCATGCCCCCAACGCCCCCCCCTCCTCCTCCCCCACCCCCGCCGCAGCCACCGCAGCAAAGCTGGAGTTGACCCGCTTCACCTGCTTGATATAATGCAGAGCGGCTAGATCCACCCCCTGCTCCCTCAGCGCCGCTTCAACCGCCTCCACATCCCCCGCACTCGCATTGTCCGTCGCCATCAGGTAGATAATCGCCAGGCGTAGCTTATCCTCCCTGGACCCCCGCTTCCGGAGTAAGTCGAGCATCGCCGCCCGGTCGGTGCTGCCCCGGGTGAGCAGGTCTTCCTCCATGGAGAAGTAGGCGTCGAGCGCACGCGACTTGATCTCCTCCAGGAGTGTGCCGCCGATGGTGACGTGCTTGTCGATGACGCGCTTGCGCTCCATCAGCTGTGGCACCGCGCTCATGGCGGCCGACAGCTGCTTGGTGCGCCCCATCAGGTCCTCGTCCTCTGCCTCGGAGAATGCATCGCCTGTGGGGGAGGCTGCGTTGACCTGTTCTTTGTCTTGGGTCCACTTCTTGAGTAACATGTCGACCTGAAGAGGGGGGGAACAGGGGATGTTGGAGGGTTGGCAGTCAAGCGGGGTGCGAATGACCCGCTTTTTTATGACCCGCTTGCGCTCCATCAACTGCGGCACGGCGCTCATGGGAAACACATGTTTGTCGAAGACTTGCCTTCGCTCCATCGGATGTGGCGTGGCACGGCGCTGGGCTCACAGCCGCCTGAAAGGAAGGGGATGCAGGGGATCGGGGCGAAAGAGATATGAAAGAGATATGAAAGAGATATGAAAGAGATATGAAAGTATGGCACCACCCCTCAAGGCTGCGCAGAGCTGCCTTCTGCACTTGATCAGGTCGCCGTCCTCCCCTGCCTCGGGAAAGGCGTCCCCTGTGGGGCTTGCTGCGTTGACCTTCTCCATGCCCTGCACCCACTTCTTTGGGAGCATGTCGACCTGGCGTAGGGGAGAAACGGGGGCGGGAAATTGAGACGCAAGGGCTCGAGAACAAAGGAATCAACCAAACAGTGCTGCACTTGCTCCTGGTCATGGACCCACTCGTTGAGTGGAGGGCCATTTCCACCTGGGGGAGCAGAGCGAGGTGAACGAAGGGACAGCAAGGAAGCAGGAGCGGAGGAGGGAGGCGAACCAAGGCACACTGGGGATTCAATTTCCCCACATGAATTCCAACCATGCCGAACCTTCATCCAGATCACAGCACTGCATTCAACCCCACTCCACCGCACTCACCGCCTCTGCCGCCTTAGGAAACGGCGACTCTGAATGCGCCACCCAGAAGCTATCCGAATCATCAAGCTCATAACTAGTCGCCTTGCCAGCACCGCCCCCACCAGCGCCCTTCAGCACCGGAGACAGCGGCCCGCTCCCGGCCCCCGCTCCTCCCCCAGCGCCTCCCTTGTGGATGCTCACTCGGTTGAGCTTCATCCCCAGCACGTCGTGCACCAACGGCCGGTACGTCCACTCGTGCTGCACCCCCACCGCCAGCTCGAAGTTCCTATCCGCTATGAATAGCAACGGCCGCTGGAACAGCCCCAGAGCCCCCCCCACCCCCCCTCCCCCTGCTCCACCCCCCGCTCCCCCTCCCCCCGACGCCACCGCTGCTGCTCCTGCTGCTAGCGCCCCAGCCGCTGCTTCCTTGAAGAGGTTGTTATGCGTGGCGAGGTGCGCCCTTAGCTTGGCGTCCAGCTGCCTGGCCACCATCTCAGCCGGCCCTCTCTCGGGGCACCGAATCACCGGCACCACCCCCAGCGTCACCAGCACGCAGAACAGCCCGTTAACAATACTCTCCACCGCCCCCTCCACGTCCTTATCCTTTGCCATTGGGTCGTTCAACCGCACATAACTCTCGGGCTGCCCGAGCGAAAACAACCCGTGGTCAAGACACACAAACTCGGAGTACTGGTCAAAGACCCGCGCCACGCGGTGCAGAGCGTTGGCTTTAAGAGTGCCCGCAGCCAGGTCCTCCAGGAGCAGGCGCGGCACGGAGGCGGTGAAGTTGAGGTGCATCTTGTCGTACGTGCCGCGGGTGGCGTCCTGGATGACCCGCTGGATATTGCCCGGGGTGGCTTGTACGAAATAGACAGCTGGCACATCAGGAATGGGCTGGCGGTCGGCGTCGACCATCAGGTGCAGGGTGATGCCATGCTTTCGCAGATCGGACACCTGAGAGGAGGGGAGAGGGGAGGGGTGGCACAGAGGGGGGCATGTCAGGGATGGGCTGCCTGCCGACTTCAACCATCAGGAATGGGCTGGCAGTCCGCGTCGACCATCAGGTGCAGGGTGGTGCCGTGCTTGCGCAGGTCAGAGACCTGAAGGGAGGGAGGTAGCAGAGGGGAGCACGAGTGGGGGCAGAGGGGTGGAGAGGGGGGGAGGGGAGGGAAAGAGAAGGGGAGGGGAGGGAAAGAGAAGGGGAGGGGAGGGAAAGGGAGGGAAGGGGAACGCAGCAGGTGCACGGAGGCAGTGAAGTTGAGGAGCATATTGTTGTAGGCGACGCGGGTGGCGTCCTGAGTGTCCCGCTGGATGTTGCCCGGGGTGGCCTGCAGGATGTAGACGGCCGGCATGCCGGGGATGGGCTGCCTGCCGGGGTGGCCGTGCTTGCGGAGGTCAGAGACCTCAAGGGAGGGCAGTGGAAGGGGAGAGAGGGAATCTGGATGACTTGCTGGATGTTGCCCGGAGCGGCCTGTACGAAGAAGACCGCTGGCACGCGAGGGATGGGCTGGCAATCGGCGGTCACCATGAGGTGCAGGGTGATGCCGTGCGTGCGCAGGTCAGATATCTGTAGGACGAACAAAGGGCGCGGAGGGAAAGAGGAAGTAGACGGCTGGCACGTTAGGGATGGGCTGGCTATCGGCGGCCAGCATCAAGTGGGGCGTGATGCCATGCGTTCGCAGATCGGATTCCTGAGAGGTGGAAGGTAAGGAAGGAGAGGGATGGATGTAGACCGCTTAGCGTACAGCAGTTGATGTCTCACCTTGAGCACCGAGCCTCGCCTTGAGCAGAGAAGAGATGAAGTGTGTGGAGTACTTGCCCAGCAGCACCTTGTGCTCGCCACCGACTGAAGCGGAAGATGAGGACTCGCCTTGTTACCTGAGCTCACCTCAAGACACCCAGGACTCACCTTTAGAAGTGGCGATATGAGGTCTCTGGAGGAATTGCCAAGCAGCAGCACCTTGTACATGCCACCTTCTGAAAGTAGATATGAGATAACACAATCACATTCGCTCTTTAATGCCACCTTCAGTAGCGGCGAAAGGAGGTCTCACCTTAAGCAGCGGCGAGATGAGGTCTCGGGAGTATTTATCCAGCAGCAGCACTTTGTACACGTCACCGTCTGACGTGGAAGGGCCGCCCATCGTGACTGTAACGGGGCTGTTGAGATTGAGCATGCGAATGATGGTGTCTGGTGTCGTGAAGGGTGGGGAGGGGTGAGGAGGGGTGAGGAGGGGTGAGGAGGGGTGGGTAAGGGTAAGCGATGGCAACAAGGCGAGGGGCATGTGATGGGGAGTGGCGTGCGGAGGTGTCTAGCGGCAGGCGGCGTTGTCCAGCGGCCGGTGATGGCCGAATGGCATGTATTGCTCGACTAAGAGAGCACGGAAGCACGCCACGGGGGATGCGAGCGGAACGATCGTTACTAGGTCACGATACCTACGAGGTTACGAGGTTACGACGTTACGAGGTTACGAGGTCACGAGGTCACGAGGTTACGAGGTTGCTATCGCTCGCCAGAATGAACCAACGATACGAACTATGGCCACGCGTGACTAATTCCCCCTAGCACAGCGTGAACCAACGATACCGTCTAATTATGGCCACGTGCAACTATTTCTACGTGTAGCGCAGCGTGAATCTGACTTTCGAGTCGACGCAAAAGTCACCTTGAACCAACGATACCGTCTAGCTATGGCAACTCATTCCACCTATCACAGCGTCAATCTGGCGACGGCAAGCATTGGCGAAACGCCACTCTCCAATCACGAGCCAGCGAAAAGTTTTCAATCAGCGCGACTCGGCAGGTGCGACTCACATCGAGTCCCCACTGCGATCTCTCACCTCTCAGTGAAATCCATGATGTGAACAAACCAAGAGCCCCCTTGCTCTCACCTCACAGTAAGGCCCATGTGAACAAACCAAGAGCCCCCTAGCTCTCACCTCACAGTAAGGCCCATGTGAACAAACCAAGAGCCCCCTAGCTCTCACCTCACAGTAAGGCCCATGTGAACAAACCATGTGAACAGCTCAGGAGCCCCCTAGCTCTCACCTCACAGTGAAATCCACGTGAACGGCCCAAGACCCCGCCACCCCTCACCTATCTGCTTCTGGCGCAGCGAGAGCGCCATGGCGACGCCTCTCTGCTGGCAAGCCCAAGGCCGAACAGAATCGAAGTCTAGAAAACCAGGACGCGGATATGCGCGGATTCTTGCAATACACTACGACGTGATGACTGTACGTATTGTAAGGACCGTAAGGACTGACGCGCGCCAAACACGCTCGCCGCTTCCCCTTCACTGATACTACAGGTCCGAGAATCAATGGCTGATCGGCTAATAGTGCTAAGCAATCCTTATCAATCGCCGATCGGAGCTCGTTATCAGCGCAGTCCTTTGAGAGACGCTCCTCCAGTTTCCGGAGCTCCTTCGCCCGGATGGGGAGATGGACGAAAGCGAGCGGAGAGCGAAAGCGAAGGAACCTAGGATACCAAGGAGCGACTCTCTGAAACGTTGGATCGAATAATAATCGGCAAATCCCGAGGAGAGTGTTCAGGAGTCACGAACGACGGAGATCCGAACAGAGTGGGTCTTGACATTGCTTTCCCGCTAACGCACTCAACCAACAGGCCCGTGCCGTGAATCCGGTCAACTCTGACACTCCGCATTCGCGTTAGTAGAGTTCCCGGCGTTGAAATCCACATCAGGCACCACCAGTTCCAGCTCTCCTCTACTTCTATTTCAGTAAAGTCCCAAACGCAACAAACGTTTGCACATAAGGTATGGCTTTGGGGATGCTATGACTTTTTTCCACAAAAGAGGAAAAAAGAAAACTTGGCACCAAGTTCCACTCAAAGCATTCGGTAAGCATTATGGCATTCCCATCTTTGCAGGCCGCAATTTAAAGGCAATTCTAGTATTACAAGACTACGTGAAGTGGGTCAAGCAAGTTGTGGTATTACATGGGGCAAAGGGAAGCGTGTTTGGCGCTATCATGGCTTCCGTGGTGAGAATGAAAGGTTTGTGGAAGGGCCCATGCCTGAAATCGGCTTCAATAAATAATGCTCGATAGCCCACCTGCGCAGGAGAGCATACGTGGAATGAAGACGGGATGACGGGGTTCAGAAGAAGCAAGCGAATGGGGAGAGGAAAAAGGCGGGGTGGGAAGAGGAAATTGTAACAACAAAGTGCTCCAAACATCCTGCGACTGTGGTGCTCCGTCCATTATTAAAACAAACACTCACATGGTGCTCTACAGCCCCATGAGCATTAACCTGAGCACCAAAATTCACTTCACTCACCTTGGGAATGTCTTGGATTGTGGAGCTGAAGTGCCAGAGGCCATCCCCTTGCGCTGTAGGCGGTGTGACTGGGTGCAGGAGGAACGGAATGGGCTGCACGCACAGTGTGCCAAACTTCGCCACATAGTCGGGAGGCGAACTCTTGAAGGGAACAGTGCTGAAGCGGGGGAGAGCAGGGAGAATGGAAGGAAAACGAGTACTGAGGAACCAGCGTGTAATGAGTCGATTTTTGAGTCGACTCATTACACACTGAGGAAACCTCAAGAAGAGATTGTTGACAGGAACAGCGCTGGAGAGCGGGCAGGCAGGGAGAATGAGGAGCCGGAGAAGGAATCTGTTGGAGTTGAATGGGGAGGTGAGGGTGGAAGATATGCCACTCATCAAGCATACATCGCTCACAGACAGACAGACCCCCTACCACGTACAAGAACTATTATGAGGCCCCTCAAAAAGATATACCACTCAGCAAACGTACATACATCACATACAAAAGACCCCTTACCAAGTACAACACCACATGCACATGACCCGCCTACCAAGTTCACAATACTGGAGACTAGACAGATTGTATACAAGAACAAAGACTTCTCTGCCATGCACTCACCACCCTGTGAGCCCCTGCTTCACTATGAACCGGAAGTCCCTGCGCTTACTGCCAAGAATGGTGCGTCCCGTCCTGCCAGGGGAGAGAAAGCAGAGGCGAATGGAACGAGTTGAATGGAAGAGAGCTCTGACAGAGGCCAAAGAAGGAGGCTCTCGGTGCTCATGGCCAAAAACGGGGCGCCGTGTGCTGGCACGCAGGAGAGGGCCAAAAGGGATTCTGGAGGCGGTGGGCAAAAAAGGATGCACAGAGATGGGCTTGTGTTTTGTGGCACTGAGGTGGCTCACACACACCGACGTGGCTCTCACACACCGACGTGGCTTACACACACCGACGCGGCTCTCACACACCGACGTGGCTCACACACACCGACATGGCTCACACACACCGACGTGGCTCACACACACCGACGTGGCTCACACACACTGAGGTGGGCCTCCACCTTCCACTCCGACAGGCCCCTCTTCCCCCACTCTCTCCCTCTTTCCCCCCTCCCCCTCCCAATCCCTTTCCCCATCCACCTCACCGTCCCCCTTACCTCCCCCCTCCCACCCCCCACCCCTTCTCTCACCACGCTCTAACAGCCAATGGCTTCCTGTCTGACGTGGCATGGATGGTAAACGTGGACCAATCAAACTGCCACCTCATCTGAGGCCAGTCAACAGCTGGCAGTCTGGGCACGCAGCCCCAAGGGGGGGTCTGCGCTGCTGCCACTGCTGCTCCCACCGCTGCCCCACTGCTGCTGCCTCTGCCTCTGGGAGATCCGACGGATGTGAGTCGTGAGTGGAGGATGGGGTGGGGGTGGTGGGGGTGGTGGGGGTGGTGGGGCGGGCCCAGGTGAGGGAGGGCCGGGAGGAGGCGGGGAGAGAGGCACAGGAGGAGTTGGCGTGGAGGAGAGAGGAGAGGAAGGAGATGGACGCATCGTAGGCCTGCAGAGAGGGGGAGTCGGGAAGAGAGAAAGGGAGGGGGAAAGGGAATGGGAAAGGGAATGGGAAAGGGAGGGGGAAAGGGAATGGGAACGGGAGGGGGAAAGGGAATGGGAAAGGGAGGGAGAAAGGGAGGGGGAAAGGGAATGGGAAAGGGAGGGGGAAAGGGAGGGGGAAAGGGAGGGGGAAAGGGAGGGGGAAAGGGAGGGGGAAAGGGAGGGAGAAAGGGAGGGGGAAAGGGAGGGGAACGGGAGGGGGAAAGGGAGGGGAACGGGGGGGGAAGGGGAGGGGGAAGGGAGGGGAAAGGGAGGGGAAAGGGGGGAGGGAGGGGAGGGGGGAAAGGGAGGGGGAAACGGGAGGGGGAAAGGGAGGGGGAAGGGGGGGAACGGGGGGGGACGGGAGGGGGAACGGGAGGGGGAACGGGAGGGGGAAATGGGAGGGGAAAAGGGAGGGGGAAAGGGAGGGGGAAAGGGAGGGGGAACGGGGGGGGACGGGGGGGAACGGGAGGGGAACGGGAGGGGGAAAGGAGGGGGAAAGGGAGGGGGAAGGGAGGGGGAAAGGGAGGGGGAACGGGAGGGGGAAAGGGAGGGGGAAAGGGAGGGGGAAAGGGAGGGGGAAAGGGAGGGGGAAAGGGAGGGGGAAGGGAGGGGGAAAGGGAGGGGGAACGGGAGGAGGAACGGGAGGGGGAACGGGAGGGGAACGGGAGGGGGAACGGGAGGGGAAAGGGAGGGGGAAAGGGAGGGGGACCGGGAGGGGGAAAGGGAGGGGGGACGGGGGAGGACGGGAGGGGAACGGGAGGGAACGGGAGGGGGAAGGCTGATGGAGGAGACGAATGAGATGCGAGGCACGGTGAGTGAGAAGCATACAAGGGAGGCTCATACAAGGACGCGAGTGTGCAGCACGGTTTAGAACGGAACGCGAGAAAGAAACGCATGACTCATGGAATCAGAAGGACAAGTAGAAGGACGAGGAGGTTGGGAAGGAGATGGGAGTTTCACACACTGAATAGAACATACAAAAGCCTTAACCGAATCACATGGAAATCGAGTGAGACAACAGAAAATGGTTGCAGTGAAAGGGAACAGCGCTGGGCGATATCCTGCCCGATACCATGAGCAGGTGTGAAGGGACCAGCGAGCTAAGTAAGCCGTGAGAGAAAACTGTTGCACAATACCTGATGTATCAAGATTACTCGTAGCAGGAAGGGGGGGTTGGAAGGGGAGGTTGGAAGGGACGGCCCCACCAACACCAAGCTGGCTGGGAAGCAACTCATCAAAGCTGTGAGTGGCAACCAGCCAAGTGGGCTAGTTGGCCCTCCATCACCTCTTGTAAGCCGGCCTTACCCAAGTGCGCCAGATTGCAACTTGGATGGAGCCCAACCAAACTACGTTGAGTTGGCCAACCGTGGCTGGGTTGGTGTACATTCATGGGGTGACTCAACCTTGCTTCATAGCATTGGGATACCTAACCAGGGCAATCTCCCAACGTACCAACTGGAACATATGGATGACGATGGTTGAAGCAACTGTCTTGGGGCGATGACGGGGGATGGACAAGTGCAGCGGCGTGCAGGACAGGAGAGCATGGGAAGGGCACTGGGCCACACGTACCCACTGGGCTACAAGTACCCACTGGGCCACACGTATCCACTGGGCCGCACGTACCCACTGGGCCGCACGTACCCACTGGGCCGCACGTACCCACTGGGCCGCACGTACCCACTGGGCCACACGTATCCACTGGGCCACACGTACCCACTGGGCTGCACGTACCCGCTGGGCTGCACGTACCCACTGGGGCGCACGTACCCACTGGGCCATAGGTACCCACTGGGCCGCACGTACCCACTGGGCCACACGTACCCACTGGGCCACACATACCCACTGGGCCACACATACCCACTGGGCCACACGTGTTGAAATATAATATTATATACAACATGCATGACTAGAATAGGAGGTGTAGACATTAAATTTATTGGGGGGAAGTTGGTTGGGATCACCAACCACAATTTGGTTGGTCAAGATTGGATTTGGCCTTGGTCCTTTAGTTGGCACTTTCCAACCAAATGGTCCCAAGGCTCCACCAATCCGCAACCACCACACCTTGGGGTTGCTTCCCCTCCAAGCTACCTCTCCCATTGGCCACTATTGTAGCCAATAGGAGTGCCTTCCGTTCCAACCATTCCTTGCTCCTTGGTTGTACTATAGAGCCTCTTGGCTCCCTTTCTAGTTAACACTTTCTCGCTAATGTTACTTCTCTCAACACGTACCCATTGGGACATCTGGATGACCATGTGGTCGAGGTTCGCAACGATCTTGAACAGCGTGGGCGCTGGGAGGTCCTGGAAATAGTAGTACCTGGCGCATCCAACCAGACGGGGAGAGAATGGGAGTGTGAATCAGAAGGGGTGAGAGAATGGGCGTGTGAACCAGAAGGGGTGAGAGAATGGGCGTGTGAACCAGAAGGGGTGAGAGAATGGGCGTGTGAACCAGAAGAGGTGAGGGAATGGGCGTGTGAACCAGACGGGGTGAGAGAATGGGCGTGTGAAACAGAAGGGGTGTGAGAATGGGCGTGTGAACCAGACGGGGTGAGAGAATGGGCGTGTGAACCAGACGGGGTGAGAGAATGGGCGTGTGAAACAGAAGGGGTGTGAGAATGGGCGTGTGAACCAGACGGGGTGAGAGAATGGGCGTGTGAACCAGACGGGGTGAGAGAATGGGCGTGTGAACCAGACGGGGTGAGAGAATGGGCGTGTGAACCAGATGGGGTGAGAGAATGGGCGTGTGAACCAGACGGGGTGAGAGAATGGGCGTGTGAACCAGTAGGGGTGAGAGAATGGGCTTGTAAACCAGAAGGGGTGAGAGAATGGGCGTGTGAACCAGAAGGGGTGAGAGAATGGGCGTGTGAATCAGAAGGGGTGAGAGAATGGGCGTGTGAACCAGAAGGGGTGAGAGAATGGGCGTGTGAACCAGACGGGGTGAGAGAATGGGCGTGTGAACCAGACGGGGTGAGAGAATGGGCGTGTGAACCAGAGGGGTGAGAGAATGGGCGTGTGAACCAGAGGGGTGAGGAATGGGCTGTAACCAGAGGGGTGAGAGAATGGGCGTGTGACCAGAAGGGGTGAGAGAATGGGTGTGTGAACCAGAAGGGTGAGAGAATGGGCGTGTGAATCAGAAGGGGTGAGAGAATGGGCGTGTGAACCAGAAGGGGTGAGAGAATGGGCGTGTGAACCAGAAGGGGTGAGAGAATGGGCGTGTGAACCAGAAGAGGTGAGGGAATGGGCGTGTGAACCAGAGGGTGAGGAAGGGCGTGGACAGAGGGGTGAGAGAATGGGCGTGTGAAACAGAAGGGGTGGAGAATGGGCGTGTGAACCAGACGGGGTGAGAGAATGGGCGTGTGAACCAGACGGGGTGAGAGAATGGGCGTGTGAACCAGACGGGGTGAGAGAATGGGCGTGTGAACCAGACGGGGTGAGAGAATGGGCGTGTGGGATCGTGTGAACCAGACGGGGTGAGAGAATGGGCGTGTGAACCAGTAGGGGTGAGAGAATGGGCTTGTAAACCAGAAGGGGTGAGAGAATGGGCGTGTGAACCAGAAGGGGTGAGAGAATGGGCGTGTGAATCAGAAGGGGTGAGAGAATGGGCGTGTGAACCAGACGGGGTGAGAGAATGGGCGTGTGAACCAGACGGGGTGAGAGAATGGGCGTGTGAACCAGACGGGGTGAGAGAATGGGCGTGTGAACCAGACGGGGTGAGAGAATGGGCGTGTGAACCAGATGGGGTGAGAGAATGGGCGTGTGAACCAGACGGGGTGAGAGAATGGGCGTGTGAACCAGTAGGGGTGAGAGAATGGGCTTGTAAACCAGAAGGGGTGAGAGAATGGGCGTGTGACCCAGAAGGGGTGAGAGAATGGGTGTGTGAACCAGAAGGGGTGAGAGAATGGGCGTGTGAATCAGAAGGGGTGAGAGAATGGGCGTGTGAACCAGAAGGGGTGAGAGAATGGGCGTGTGAACCAGAAGGGGTGAGAGAATGGGCGTGTGAACCAGAAGAGGTGAGGGAATGGGCGTGTGAACCAGACGGGGTGAGAGAATGGGCGTGTGAAACAGAAGGGGTGTGAGAATGGGCGTGTGAACCAGACGGGGTGAGAGAATGGGCGTGTGAACCAGACGGGGTGAGAGAATGGGCGTGTGAACCAGACGGGGTGAGAGAATGGGCGTGTGAACCAGACGGGGTGAGAGAATGGGCGTGTGAACCAGATGGGGTGAGAGAATGGGCGTGTGAACCAGACGGGGTGAGAGAATGGGCGTGTGAACCAGTAGGGGTGAGAGAATGGGCTTGTAAACCAGAAGGGGTGAGAGAATGGGCGTGTGAACCAGAAGGGGTGAGAGAATGGGCGTGTGAACCAGACGGGGTGAGAGAATGGGTGTGTGAACCAGACGGGGTGAGAGAATGGGCGTGTGAACCAGAAGGGGTGAGAGAATGGGCGTGTGAACCAGAAGGGGTGAGAGAATGGGCGTGTGAACCAAAAAGGGTGAGAGAATGGGCGTGTGAACCAGAAGGGGTGAGAGGATCAAGGATGGGGCTCACGAGTCGTCCATGAAGAAGAACTCGTCGTTGGAGGCAGAAATCAGCAGCTTGGGCATGGTCAGTCGGTCCAGGAAGAAATACGGGTCCGTGTAGCTCTGGTGAGTGGAGAGGATGGGGAAGAGGGGGGAGGAGGGGAGTGGGAAAGAAGGGGAAGTGGGAAAGAAGGGGGAGTGGGAAAGAAGGGGGAGTGGGAAAGAAGACAAGAGTGCAGTACGACATGATGTACAAGCGCCCCCCCTTGGCATCTCACATGCTCGGACCACCTTTGTGGTCACTGTTGGTTAGGCAGCACACTGGCGAGCACTGGGCTGCCGCCAAGCATGTCCTGTGCTACATTTTCGACACCAAGGCCCATGCTTCTGCTCTTAACATTTGCTTCGAGCCTCTCTAGCTTCCGTGGCTCCCTTGTATGCTACACAGTACTTCCGTCATTTGACAATTGAACTGAATTCTTAGGCGCTACTCATAGTGCAATCGATCTGGAGAGACTCCCCCCACCCGCCGCTCACCATTACTCGGTGCAGCTGTGGCGAGTGGGGTTGTAGTCTTCTGCATAGGGCTTGCCCAGAATAAGCAGGATGCAGAAAGTCCAGCAGGTGCTGTATGCTGGGATTCAACCAACCCCCTACCTCCCTCCCTTCCTCCCTCCCTTCCTCCCTCCCTTTCTCCCACAATCCATCCTTCCATTTCTCCCTCCCTCCCTCCCTCCCTTCCTTCCTCAATCCATCCCTCCCTTCCTTCCTCAATCCATCCCTCCCTTCCTTCCTCAATCCATCCCTCCCTTTCTCCCTCAATCCATCCTTCTCTTTCTCCCTCCCTCCCTTCCTCCCTCCCTCCCTCCCTCCCTCCCTCCCTCCCTCCCTCCCTCCCTCCCTCCCTCCCTCCCTCCCTCCCTCCTCCCTCCCTCCCTCCCTCCCTCCCTTCCTCCCGCAATCCATCCTTCCCTTTCTCCCTCCTTGCCTCCCTCCCTTCCTTCCTCAATCCATCCCTCCTTCCTTCCTCAATCCATCCCTCCCTTTCTCCCTCAATCCATCCTTCCCTTTCTCCCTCCCTCCCTTCCTCCCTCCCTCCCTCCCTCCCTCCCTCCCTCCCTTCCTCCCGCAATCCATCCTTCCCTTTCTCCCTCCTTGCCTCCCTCCCTTCCTTCCTCAATCCATCCCTCCCTCCCTCCCACCCTTTCTCCCTCAATCCTTCCCTCCTCACTTCCTCCCTCTTCTCCCCCCCCACCCGCTCACCATGACTCGCTGCAGCTGTGGCGAGTGCAGCATGCCAATGACGCCATAGTCCACAAGGAACTTGCCCAGCACAGGCATGCCTCCCAAGGAGTCCAGCACATGCTGCATGTTGGTCGGAAAGTTGATGAGGTCGTAGCCGTAGGATATGAAGGCAACCACTCGCTGCGATCACAGGCACAAACAAAGACAATGTCAGGAGTGGAGTGCGATGAATAGGGGAGAGAGGGAGTGGAGTGCGAGGAATAGGGGAGAGAGGGAGTGGAGTGCGAGGAATAGGGGAGAGAGGGAGGAAGCTCTGTGTGCGAAGAAAGCATGCACATATTATTGGCCTCAAAGTTAATGAAATTGCAACCGAAGGATACACAATCCACCCACGGATGGCAACAGAGATATGATGTGCACGGCAAAAGCAGATGCTCAAATAAGCACCTGCCTATAAAACAGGGCGCACATACACATAATCACCCGAGCCAATTTGCACATCTATGAAATCACCTACCTTATCAAGTGCAGCAGAAAGCCAAGCCATGTATGCTCGCTTGCTCACACCTATCGCCACAAACCCTTCCACCTGGCGGGGATGAACACGGAATGAGAGGGACGCAGGGATCAGTGGGAATTGCCTCGGATGACAGACTTGCATCCATGTCCCTCAATACGCACCAATGCATGTGTGGATGAATGCATGCATGCACACATCTCACCGGCACATGCGGCAGCAGCTCTCTAACTGCCAGCTGCACGGCATCCATGCCTCGAATGACAGACTTGGCCATGGGCATGTAGATGGGCCACTCGGGCGTGCTGGGGTCGTGAATGGCCATGGCGAGGGAGACTGTGATGCACACGGAGTGAAAGATTAGGGGAAAGAGGGGCGGGTAGGGGGGGAGTGGGGGGATGGGCTGGAAGGAAGACAGGCCACTCGAGGGAAGTGGGGTCGTGGAGGGCCATGGCAGGGTGACTGGCGAGAGAGAGAGAAGAGGCAGGGGGTTGGGAAAGAGGGGGTTGCAAAAGAGGGGGTGGGATGGGACAGGGGGTTGAGGAGATGGGCATATAGGCAGGCCACTTTGGTGTGCTCGGGTCATCAAATGGCATGGCAAGCATGACTGTGGTTGGAAGACGAGGGGGATGGGATGGGAATGGTGTGAGCAGCACAGTACAGGCAATGTACAAGTTGGTCCATGGTGGTTATTGCAAACCAAGTGCAGAGACATACATGCATGCAATGCTGCGGGCCCGATGGGCGTTTTCTCAAACTTGTTCTACCAGGCCGTGATGCTGACGCCAGGAGGAATGCATACTCACTATGAACCAACTCGCTTACACGCTGTGATCTCCTCTTCTAAAAGCTCTTTGCTTCTGCTGCTGCTGATGCCAGGCGGGCTGGAGTAGAAGCTGATGGGCATCATGGGCACCTGGTGCAGCATCACGCCTAGGATTCCGAGGTCCACCACCAGACTGCATGTGGGACATGTGAGGGAAAAGGGCAAGGGCGCAACACATGAGGTGGAACGGTAAGGAGTAGCAGCTGATGGGCATCACGGGCTTAGGATCAGCATGCCCTGGGAAGGGTTGAGCAAAATACCCGCGCGGGGCGGGTACCCGGACCCGGACCCGGATCCGCTTTTAGGGCGGGTCGGGTATCAGGATTCCCGAATATTACCCGGCAGGTCGGGTCCGGGTTACCCAGGCAGGTATTCGATACCCGTTGCCCGAAATCTTACCCGACATGTCGGGTAACGGGTACCCGACCCGCCGGGTATTGAATACCCGACTTGGGGTACCGCCCCTCTCATGCTGGCAAAAACGCTACCCGACCCAGTTTAGGTTGTTATTTATTGACCACGCTGTCGACACCCACCAGGGGGGCACCAATGGCAACAGAGGGTAAAACAGAGGTTGTTCAGGCATTTTTTCATGGGCGGGTAGCAATACCCGCTTTTAGCCTAAACCGGGTCGGGTATACCCGGATCCGCCTGGCGGGTATTATATTACCTGCCATTAAGGGCCGGATCGGGGTAATGGTCCTGGGAGTATCACCCGACCCGGACCCGACCCGAAAATACCCGACCCGAGGCCGGGTATGGCAAAACCGGGTCGGGTCGGGTATTTACCTGGTTTTGCTCATCCCTCTGGGAGTGCCCACCTGAAGGAACTTCGTCACTACATAGTGCATTGGAGAGTTGACTGTCACTCAACAGTTGCACGCACACCCACTCACGGCACAGCAAGGCGGATGAAGTTGCAAGTCGTCTTCGGCACGTAGCAAGTAGCAACGCACCACCAGCTCCTTCGTGGCATGCACCCACCCACTCATGGCGCAGCGGGGCGGATGACAACGTCAGCCTTCTTCGGCACGTGGCAGCTGCGTTGCTCTATGTCGTTGGCAGCTCCACTCCACCCAGCCACAGAAGTGGAAGGAACAGTGACTCAAACCCACACTGCCACTCCAACCCCCATACGCACACGCACACACACTCACGGTGCAAAAAGGCGGATGAAGACGTCATTCTTTCTTGGCACGTGGTAACCGGACGTCACTCTGCCAGGGTCGCTCCACCCAGCTTAGATGAGAAGGCAACAACCACGTTACGTAAGGCCAGAGCGACAGACACAAACACACCAACTCACTCACGGCGCAGCAAGGCGGATGAAGACGTCTGTCTTTTTCGGCACGTAGTAGTGGTCCGCGCCTGTGACGTGCACGTCCCGGCCAGCTCCGATGAAGAAGAGCACGAGGCCCCTGCTGGCGCTCGGCATGTTGTCTGGCGCCTGTCAAACGAAGGTAGGGCGAAGAAAATGGGGAAAAAATATTATCTTTACGCACTCAACGGAGTAGGAATCACAGTGATTATTGATTCGATAAACACACAGCGTGATGAAACCCACATACTCTTGGGCTAAAGAACCACTTGCTCCAAAAGCCAAGGCGTACGGATAATCATAATCTACTTTAACACCTGTGCTCACAATAAGCGTTAGGTAATGCCACCAAACGGATTTGTCTGTAACGGATTCGTTGAGCCATCTGTGGGCTGTCACCCGCAGCACATACCCCGTCCACCAGCCCCCTGGCTCCTTCGCCCGCATGCGGTTACCCGTGTCCTTCCACCTGCAAGCGGTAAACGGGAGGGTAAGAGGGAGGAGAAGCAAGACGAGCTGGTGACAACGACACTGCTGTGGAGCCACCGGTGAGTTGTCACCAGCAGCATATACCCCGTCCACCACCCCCATTGGCTCTTGGCGCCTTGACTCAGGTCCCGTGTCCTTCCAACTGCACGCGGTAAACGGGGAGCGTAAGAGGGAGGAGAAGATGGGCTGTTTCGCTTACATGACGGCAAACGGCTGTAGCAGCTGCAACGGCTGAAAACTCACCCGAATTCCGCATCCGCAGTGTAAACATATCGATCCAAAGGTGTACCATGACATTTCCTCGCCGTCTCGCAGCCGCTTTGCGGGAAAAGGGAGGATTGGGACGACGCTACAGTACTATTAGCCGGAAGCAGGATTGGTCGGAGCTCGAAAAAGGCCAAGTAAGCGACGGTGAGGGCGATGACGAGAGGCAGAAAGCGACGACTAAGAGCCGACTGAAGATGCCTGACGATGGCAGCAGCGCCTGATACGTGTGTACGCGACATAATGAGCCGTTCGTTAAGGATAGTAAACGCTCCTACAGAACTGCTTAATGCAGGTTAGAAAAAGCCGCATTATAAATTCGTCGTTTTTGCTAAGATTCAGAATGCATAGTATACAAGCTCAAGCCTACTCTACATATTTGACGACCGCATTGTGTCGCTTCAGGCGAACATCCAATGCAGAAGTGTGACACTGATTCCGGATTTCAACTTGCATACTGAAAAGGACTCTCAATTTTGATTTTCCTTTTTTCCCAGGCGAGATACTGCCGTGCACGCAGTCCACCGCGACAGCGCATAACAACCTCCCATGACTACTACTCTGGAACGCCTTAGCTGCTAAGCCTAGCCTAGCCTAGCCGCCTTACTCGGAAAAAAGTACAGCGCTCGGAAGGAATTTTTATACTGGAACTAAGAAGGAATCTGCGGCTGGAATGGTGGTCGGGAGTAGGGCGTATTGTTTGCGATGGTCCAGAATCAAGGTACAGACCCATATTGGCACGAGGTTAAGGCCTGGTAACCGGAGCTCCACTTGTTCGACACGAAGTTGATACCGAAGCCGTACCTCGAGCGTACACTGAACAGTTTCGAATTCGACAAGCGTGACGGAAATCCGAAGACTTCGAAGGACTTGGGTTTGGGATTTCTTCCGCCCTCCAAAGGTGTTACAAGCAAAATTGGAACTTATGACACTTTCATGCATGCTAAGTGCATCGTGCAAAATTCATGAAGAACAGGGGACCTGTATAAAAACGATCTGTATGGTTATCCCACGTGTGAATAGCAGGTGCACTTGCCGTCTATCTCATCACACCCAACGTATTTGGCATTTATTGTTGCCAGGCTGTCAAGGCGAGAACAGGCGCTTATTTGAGGCTAAAAGGGCTTCAATAACACAAGGGATCCCTTCATTGCAGATTGCAAAACCAGCTTGCAACCATGTGTAGATCGCGTATTTGGACGCAACCTCACATCCAGACCGGGACGCGCAGAGGAATTTACCCCAACTGCCACATTTCGATGTGACTACTAGCTTTGCACAATCCATTGCAACACACTACTATGGCAAGCTTATGCAAAGAGGGTCAAGCAAGCTGTGCTATTACAGGGGGCAAAGGGAAACGTGTTTGGTGCTATCATGGCTTCAGTGGTGAGAACGAAAGGCTTGTGGAAGGGCCCATGCTTGAAATCAACTTCAATGAACAGTGCTCGATAGCCCACCTGAGCAGATGAGTAGGAGAGGAGTAAACATGGGAGGCAGGGGGTCAAAAGAAGAAAGGGAACGAGGAGAGGAGGACAGGGTGGGAAGACGAAATCAATACAGCCCCAACAGAGGCATTGAGAAAATTCACTTCACTCACCTTGGGAATGTCTTGGATTGTGGAGGTGAAGTGCCAGAGACCATCTGGCTGCACTGTAGGCGGTGTGACTGTGTGCAGGAGGAACGGGATGGGCTGCACGCACAGTGTGCCAAACGTTGCCACATAGTCGGGAGGCGGAATCTTGAAGGGAACAGTGCTGGAGAGGGGGGGAGCAGGGAGAATTGAAGGAAGAAATGTATCGCCACGAAACTCCAACAAGGAAAGATTCTTTACAGGAACAGTGCTCGAGAGCTAATGAGGGGCGGGAGAAGGAATTTGTTGGAGATAAGTGGGAGGTGAGAGTGGATGAGATGAGGTGAGAGTGGATGCCATGCGGTGAGAGTGGATGATATGCGGTGAGAGTGGATGATATGCCCGTCATCAAGCATCCATCACACAGAGACAGACCCCGTACGAAGTACAACACCGCATGCACATGACCCACCGACCAAAATCACAATACTGGAGATAAGACAGATTATACACAAGAAAAGAAACCTCTCTTTTCCAAAAGACAGTTCACGCACCACCCTGTTAGCCCCTGCTTGACTCTGAACGGAAGTCCCTGTGCCTCCCGCCCTGAATATGCATTCTCTCCTGGTGGGAAAGTTCCGTCTTGCAAGCCTCACCAGCGTGCTGGAAACTGGTCAAGCCTCTTGCTTCACCCCCTCACCACCCCGTCTGCCCCTGCTTCACTCTGAACCGCAAGTCCCACGCAAACACATTGACCCTATAGCTGTCGGCCTCTCGTTCACTCACCACCCTGTGATTCCCTGCTTGACTATGAACCGGAAGTCCCTGCGCTTACTGCCCGGAAAGGTGCGCCCTGTCCTGCAAAGTGGGAGAGAGAGAGAATGTAAGACTGAGAAAACGCTTTCCACCGTAAAGAACGATTCCTTGCATCACTTTATAATGAGTCAATATCCCTACATGACACGCAGTCCCTTGATTACATGCAACCCCCTGCCTTACCCCATGCCTGAACCATTGACATGGAGGTTCCTTCAGTCGACTTAGCTGGCTAGGTGATGCTTTATACATTCCAAAAACAACACTTTGGAGTCAACAGCCCTTTCTTTTCGTCAGCCATGCAGCATCCAATCCTACAGGCCATTCTTCACCCCTTTCCCCTGCCCCTCCCCATCCCCATCCCCATCCGCCTCCCCACCCCATCCCGCCCACTCCCCTCCCCTCCAGCCGTCTCTCCCTTCCCCTCCCCATCCCTCTTGCCATCCCCCACCCCCCTACCCCCCCACCCCCCTCTCACCACGCTCTAACAGCCAATGGCTTCCTGTCTGACGTGGCATGGATGGTGAACGTGGGCCAATCAAACCGCCACCTCAGCTGAGGCCAGTCGACAGCTGGCAGCTTCGGAACGCAGCCCCAAGGGGTGGGCTGTACTGCTGCCGCCACCGCGGCTGCCTCAGGGTCTTGAAAGCCAGACGTTGAGCCAACATGGGGGAGGTCGCTCAGAAAGGCACGTGTAGTAGGAGTGTTGGAAGAAGGTTGGAGGTTGAGGGAGGATGCGGTGGTGGGGGTGGTGGGGGTGGTGGCGGTGGTGGGGTGGTGGGGCGGGTCCAGGTGAGGGAGGGGCGGGAGGAGGTGGGGAGAGAGGCACAGGAGGAGGTGGCGTGGAGGAGAGAGGAGAGGAAGGAGATGGACGCATCGTAGGCCTGCAGAGAGGGGGGGGGGGAAGAGGGGACAAAGGGAAGGGGAGCCGATAATCAGAGAAGAGCAAGGAGATGGGAGGTTGACGGAGTGATGCACGTGTGCATCAGCCTCTCTGCTGTGCAAGAGCCTTTGGAGTGAGTGAGTGTTTTGAGGCCTCTCAAAACATGGCTATTCTGGCAAATACGTTTGGAGTGAGTGAGGAGACAGCAGAAGCTTAGTAGATGTCAACAGAGTGGGAATAGACATCTGAATGACCGTATGGTCGACGTTGGCAACCATCTTGAGGGCGAATGAGAAATGTGAATAGGAGAGGCACGGTACAGCCAGTGCAAGAAGGAACAGCAGAGGCACAGGCACTGGGCCGCACGTACCCATTGGGACATCTGGATGACCATGTGGTCGAGGTTCGCAACGATCTTGAGCAGCGCAGGAGCTGGAAGGTTCTGGAAATAATAGTACCTGGCGCATCAAACCAGCAGGGGTGAAAAGGAGTGTGTGAGTGATGTTATGGAGCATGTGCGTGGTCCTCAATACACTAGTGCCTGGCGAGAGGAAGCGGCAGATGTGAAAGCGCGTATGGCTAAAAACAGTAAGAATCAAAGGAGCGGGCGAGTGTCGCTATCGGGCGAGTGAGCGGGACATGAGCAAGTGAAGTGTCACTAACGGGGATGGCCCCATGGCCCCATGGCCCTACGAGTCATTCTCGGAGAAGGAAGCATCATTGCAGGCAGCAATGGGCAGCAACGGGCAGCAACGGGCAGCAACGGGCAGCAACGGGCAGCAATGGGCAGCAATGGGCAGCAATGGGCAGCAATGGGCAGCAATGGGCAGCAATGGGCAGCAAGGGGCAGCAAGGGGCAGCAAAGGGCAGCAAAGGGCAGCAAAGGGCAGCAAAGGGCAGCAATGGGCAGCAATGGGCAGCAATGGGCAGCTTGGGCATAGTCTCTCATGGAGCTATGGTGGTGTTCCGTGTCACTAAAAAGGATGGTACGATAGAGCACTAAATAGGATCTCGTACATGCCACTAAAGGGGATGGGCTCACGAGTCGTCCATGGAGAAGAACTCGTCGTTGGAGGCGGAGATGAGCAGCTTGGGCATCGTCAGACGGTCCCGGAAGAAATACGGGTCCGTGTAGCTCTGCGGGGGTTGAATGGACCCGAGGGGAAGAGGACGAGGGGGGAATTTCATTGGGGCCGAAATGGAAAATATGGGCCTGTGTGGCTCTGGTGGGTGTGTTAAGGTGGGGGCGGGGGGGAGGGGAGTAGGGAAGACGACAAAGAGTGCAGCATGACGTGATGTGCAGTGTGCACTCGCCCCCACCTGGTGTATTGCATGTCCTGACCAGCTTCGTGGCTTCTGATCGGCACACTGCCGGACTCAGAGTCATCATTGGTTGCGCTTCTTATTACATGTTCTGACCAGCTTTGTGGCTTCGTGACCTGTTGAAGCCCTGCAGCACCCCCCCCTCTGGTGTGACAACGCCAACATGTTTCAATTAACCAGGAAAGAGTCTTGTTTTAAGGTCGTTTGGAACTTTGAGCTTTCTCTGTCACTTTCTCGTGGTTCACAATGTTGATGTCTCGAGTCTCGACCAACCTTGCTGACATCTTCAGCAAGGTCCTCCTGCGGATTTCGCACATTCTGATCTGATCTGATCTGATCTGATCTGATCCGAGAGTCATTCGCAGATTGCTCCACCAAGGCCCTTGCACATCTCTAACTCGACTCCAACTGACCCCCTCCTTCCACCCCCTTCCCCCTCCCTCTTCCCCCCCCCTCCCTCCCTCCCCCCCTCCCCCCCTCCCTCCTCCCGCTCACCATGATTCGGTGCAGCTGTGGCGAGTGCAGCATGCGAGTGAGGTTGTAGTCCACATACGACCTGCCCATGATGGGCACGGCGCCCACGGAGTCTAGAAGATGCTGCATGTTGGGCTCAAAGTTGATGAGATCGTAGCCATAGGATATGAAGGCAACCACTCGCTGCAGGGAATAGGGACAATGGAAGCAGTAGGGAAGGGTGATAAGGAAGGTAGTCAGAACGAGGAAAGGTAAGGCGAAACACATCAGGATAAGAATGTGCGGAGTCTATTTTTGAGGCGCCTCAAAAATAGACTCCTCACGTCAGGATAAGAACGTGCTGAGGCCATTCGCAAGATGATGCACTACGATACGAGAACGATGATACACATTTTTTGTCGACTCTTGAGTTTTGAGTCGACTTATAAGTCAAAATTCGTTTTTGAGAAGACTCAAAACCCTAAGGCCAACAGGAAGATGATACGCAATGAGAAGGATGATACCCTTTGGGAAATCCGATGCACAAATAAACACGATCGCAGTCACC